AAAGTCGGAGCTCAGGGGCTGTGTGGACAGCCGCTTCAGGTGTCTTGACAGAGGACCTATTCTCCCTGCTTCGAGTGGCCCGAGGTGCGGGCTCTGGGGCGACAGGTTGGTGTGTGGAGGTGGACGGTTGCAGCTCGGGGGCTGCTGGCTCAGCTGCTTCAGGGGTCTTGATGGAGGACCTCCGTGTCCTGGCCAGACTGGTCTGAGGCTCAGGCTCAGAGGCAGCGGGCTGCTCTGTGGGCACAGGAAGGTGGGGCGTGTGGGCAGCAGAGGAAAGCAGAGTGGGTGTCATCCTGCCCCGCGGCCGTCGCCTGGCAGTGGGCTTGGGCCGCAGAGTCTCCAGCTCTGAGGACAGGGCAGGCTCTGGAGCCTTCTGCTTCCCAGTGCGCCCAGCCCTAGGAATGGGTGGCTCACAAGATGGAAGGGAAGGAAGGAGGGGCCGAGGTACAGCCTGTTTTCGGCTCTGAGAGATACAGGGGCCTGGGGCTGGGGGTGAGGGTGGGGCCAAGGCTGTGGGCACTGCAGCGGGTGGGCCAGCATCAGGAGACTCCAGGTCGTCCTGCGGAGAGAGAAGCCAGTGAACAGTGGCAGAAAGAGGTCGAAACCAGACACTGGACTGTGCGTGTGTTCCAGCTGCCAAGGGCCCTGCTTTCCATGACCGTCTCCCGTCTCCCGTCTCCCGTCAGACCCGCAGCTCTGAGAAGCAGCAGTCCTGCCCCGAACCCAGACCTCTTTGCCTGACGCCAGTATAGCACTCTCCAAGGGACAGCAAGAAACACAAGGAAAGGGGCTTCCTTCCCGGGTCAGGCAGGCGAACTACCGCTTGGGACCCAAATACAGAAAACAGTGGGTGTCAAGGGCAGAGGGACAGAGGCCGGCTAAGGAGAGGCAAAGATGAGACTGGAGGATGTGGGGACGGGAGCACACTGAAGTGCGGCCAGGGTAAGGTGTGCTGGAGGGGAGGAAGGGTGACCCGTGGAGTGGGGACATCTAGAAAGCAGCTCTCACCCTGGGAGTACTCTCAGCAGGTGGCATCTTGCTAGCCATGTGGCCTGAATAGAAGAGAAACAGGGGGGCGCTGAGTTGTATGAAGTCAGATGCTCAGGGATTATTTTGAGGGCTGCACCCACCAGGGCTCCCCTCTACCTTCACTTACCTCTGGGCTGCCCGCTGGGGCTCACTGGGGCTCCCCTTACTCCACCTGACTGGTGTCCCACCCCCATTCCAGGCTCTGGGCTTACTTGGGCAGCCTGCCTTTCCGGGTGCCCCTGCCCTTCTGGGCGCCTATACCCTCGCTCCGACTCTCCTCTCTCCAGGGCCACGGCTGACCTGGCCTCTACTCCACTCTCTGTAGCCGGCACCCATTCCTCTGCGGCTCCCTCAAGCGCTTCTCTCGTGAGGCTCTCCCTCTGCATGTCTCTCTCTTGTGTGTCCTCTGCAGTCTCTCCTTCCTCCTCCAGGCTCTCCCTGGCCCTTCCAGGACTCACACTGTCCACCTTTCTGTCAGCCTCTGGCCTCTGAGCAGCTCCAGCTAACACCTGCACCTTCTGCTCCCTGTCCTCTGTCCTAGTTAACGTTTCCTCCGCCCACTCATCTGCGCTGTCTCCTGGTGGCTGCTCCGTGATGTCTCTCTCTGGGGTCCCTCTCTCTGGGGTCACCCTCTCTGCTGTTTCTCTTGTTGTACCCCTGTCTCTCTCCACAGTCCGCAGCCCTCTGCCTTCGGTCCCCAGTGGTTCTGTGTGAGCTCGGCTCCTTGGACACTCGTCTTGTGCTGCCCTTGGTGGAGACAGATGAGACGCGTGGGCCTCCAGGAGGGTGGCTGTGGGCAGAGGCTCAGGGTGCTCAGACGCTCCCACACAGAAGGGTTGTGTAGCCAAGACTTCCCACGGTTCATCCAGTGAACCTGAACAATAGAGAGAAAGGGAAAGAAAAAGGGAGATTTAAAAATGCGGTAAGTTGAAAAAAGATTAAGGTAAACTTGTGAATAATAAATCTAAATGAGTTAATAAGGATAGCTGGAGATAAGGGTGGTAGTTATAACATTTATTGTTATAGAAAAAGCATACTCTCATATGAAAGATCCCACATTAGCTCATTTTGTTTCTTTTTTTTTTTTAGTAGCTTATTTTCTAGGCGCATGTGGTGGCACACATCTATAATGCCAGCATTCTGGGAGGCTGAAGCAGGAGGAGCCAATTTTGAGATAAGCCTGGGCAACTTAGCAATTTAGCAAGACCCTGCCTCAAAGTCAGAAAAAGGATTGGGGATGTAGCTCAGTGTGAAGACCATAGGTTCAATCCTTGGTATAGTACTGGGGAAGAAAAAGTGATCTAGATGGATCTGTGGATCTGACTTAATAAGGAATTTTTTTCTAACGAGATGGAGAAAACAAGAAAGGACACAGAGTTTGGAGCAGAGTTTTTTGTACCTGGGGCCTGAGAGCTGCAGTGGGGAGTGCTGGGCTCTGGGCAGAGCACACACGGGAAGGCCTGGGTGGGTTCGTCCTCCACACCTGGGACAGCTGCACAAGGAAGGACAGCTGAGCACAGCTCCTCACGCAACCCCGGGCCCACGCCAGCCGCGTCTGCCCTCGTCCCCTCACACCAGGGACCCCAAGCATGTCTCCCACTCCCACAGAGCTGGGACCCCAACACCACGGAGTCTTTACCTTGCAGGTTCTCACTCTCCACGAAGCACTGGGTGGCTTGAAGGTCCAGATCGTCGCAGCCTGCTGGGGTGCAGTACGGAAGAGACAAGAAAGAGCAGCATCTGACCCTGGGCTCCTCAGTCCCCTCCACTTCCGCCCCCTCGTTCCTAGGGCCCAGGGAGGGAGAGAGAGCGGTGCGTACCATCTAGGCTGTCTTTGGAGCCTCTGACCCGAGCCAAACAGGACTTCTTCCTCCTCCCTGTGGGAGTCTGTGCTCGGCCTCTCTGCAGCAGGGAGGGGTCTCTGGGGGTGGCTGTGTGTACCACCTGTTCCCCTTGTGCCGCAGGTGTCCTGCCAGGGGCCCTCACTTCTGGAGCCATCTCCCGAGCATCCCCTTCTGCCACACGTTGGCTTTTTCTCACAGCTGCCACTGCTGAGGCCAGGTCCTTCTCCATGTTGGCTTTACCAGGAGGCCTGGCTCGGTTTGTCCCCTGCACAGGCACATGATGGCTTGCCAGATGTGTAACAGCTGGTCCTGGTGGAACTTCTTCCTCCGCCTCTGTCTTGATGTGCACCGTGGCGGGGCAAGCTTGGCTTCTCTTGAGGCGGGTCCCACGGGAGTGCCTCCCTGCTCCCTCACCGTCCCCACGTGGAGGTCGGCTCTTTCCTGACTGTGCTGTGACAAGTGGCTCAGCCTTTTCTGTGGAAGCACTGGGGATAGTTTCCCTCTTTCCCACTGGGAGCCTTCCCTCCTCCGTGTCTGTGTCGCTGTCTCTCCCTGAGGAGGTTGGGTTCCACTCCAAGACCAAAGGCTGGGCTCTGGCCTTTTCTGCATCTGTGTCTCTGTTCCACAGTGCAGCTCTGCCCTCCTTCAGCTGCGCCAAGGTGAGCGCTGCTGAGACTTCTTCCTCCTCATCGGTATCACTGTTGATCACTACGGAAGTCTGGCCTCCAGCTGCCGGGCACTTCTGCTCTTCCACATCGGTGTCACTACCAGCTGGGCTCTCTGGCAGACGTGCCAAGCCAGGGGCGCCAGGACGTCCTGCACCTGCTGCGTGCAAGATTGGCCTCCTCGTCATGAGAGCTGCAGCTGGGGTTGCAGGGATACCCTCTTCTTCCACATCGGTGTCACTGTCTTCAAAGCCAGAAGGCTGTGCTCTTTCCAGGAGGAGCTCGGCTGGCCTGCTGTCTTCATCCACATCCGAGTCACTGTCCCCACCGGGAGGGTGGCTGCTCTCCAGAACCACCCTGTTCCCTGCACCCTTCCTGACTTCTGTGTCTCTGTCCCTTCCCACTGCAGGTGGAGCCTTCACCAGCCGAGTGGCATGTGTGACTCTGTCACCTCTGGGCTGTTCTGTCTTTGTTGTGGTACTGCTCCTTGCTGCTGGGAAGGCCTTCCCTGCTTCGTCCTCTTCTGTGTCACTGTCCAGGCTGAAAGCCAGAGATGGCCCAGAGCCACCCAGGACTGGAGAAGGCCCCTCATCATCACTGCAAAAGGGTTAGAGTCTATTACACCCACTTCCTAAAAAGGGACAACCCACTCCATTTGGAGCCTCCTGAGGGCAGGCACAGGGGGCATTTTTCTCCCCACCGCTAGGTTAGTTCTCCACTGGTGATCTGAGGTGATCTGTAAGAATGCAGATGAGGGCTGGCATGATGGTGCAGGCCTATGATCCCAGCACTAGGGAGGCTGAGGCAGGAGGACTGCCAGGAGTTTGAGGCCAGCCTGGGTTACAGTGTATTTAAGGCCAGACTAAATTACAGAGGGAGACCCTGGCTCAAACAAACAAAGCAGCAGAAACTGGATATGGCAGCACACCTATAATTCCAGTGCTCTGGGAGGCTAAGGCAAGAAGATTGCAGTTTTGAGCCTAGCCAGGGCAATTTAGAGACTTAAAAAGATACTATCTCAAAATTTAAAAAAAAAAAAACAAAACCATTGGGGATATAGCCCACTTCAAAGGCTTTGGGTTCAGTTCCCAGTACTGGGAAGGAAAAAAAAGACCAGCTCAGTGAATGAATGACATATATGGTTCCCAGCCCTACCTTTCAAGATAATCCACTCTGAGTGACTGACATTCCAGGCCCTGGTTCTCACCTTTCTGGAACTACTGTCACAGGGGAAGATGCGGTCCTCGATTCTCTCCCCACACGCCCTTCGGAAAGAAAATCTGGCAAGAGCAGAAAGGAGTGAACTGACAGTCTTACACTCATCATCACACACCCTCCCAACACACGCACGCACCTGCCTCCTCCTCCGAGTCCTCAGCCAAGGGGGGCCTGGTTGTGTGAGCATCTCCTGGGACCCTGGGCGTCTCCTCTATGGTGAGTGGGCCCCGGGAAACCACGGGCAGGGGCACACCCAGGCGACAGTACTGGCAGGGCAAGTCAGCCAGGAGGATCAGTTCATGGTCCCTCAGACGGTGACTTGCCCCGGGGCTCAGGACCTTAGGTGGCCTCAGGATTTGGGTACCATTGAGGCTCCCACAGTCCTGAAGGACAGGAGCCTTGTCTTGTGCTGAGATTTCAATCACTGCGTGTTGTTTGGAAATGGACGGGAAGGGCAGGGCCACAGAGCAGTCCGGCATTCGGCCTATCACGTTCTTCCCGAGGTACAGTGGGAAATCTGAAAACGAGAGAGGTTGAGAATCCAGCGTCATGAAGACCCCCAAGCACTATGACAACAGAAAGCCCTAAAGGGTGGACGTGGGGTGCACACCTGTAATCCCCGCACTTGCGACTGAGGCAGGAGGGTCGCTGTGAGTTTGAGGCCAGCCTGGGCTACAAAGTGAGTTTGAGACCAGCCTGAACCACAGAGGGAAAACCTGTCTCAAACACACACACACACACACACACACACACACACACACACACAC